CGTTTATATGGTATAATAAAAAAAAATTTCGAGTACAAGTTATATATACAAAGATAAACCAAAAAGTTATTTCAATAATATTTTTCATAATAAGTGTCAACCTGGTACGCACTTAACATACTGCCTGACTAGTAGTTGGACTCTTCGACCTATTTCACTAACTGTTGAAACTACTGGAATAAAAATGGTGCCTTTTAACGTTGCACAGTGGGAAATTGCATAGTCAAATATTAAAGAAGCGACATAATTTAAACAATATGTCTGACAGTGGGTTTTGTTACTAACACCCTCACAAAGAACTTTTTATTATATGAACATCTAAATATGGTAGGTGGTGCCGGACAGAGCAATTTGGGGGCCCTAGGCGGACACGGATGTGGTGGTTTTCAAAACCACCACATCCGTGTGAATAATTCAAAATATGGTTCCCCCCCTCCCCCACATATATTTGTTTTTCTTCAATTTTTAAGTAATTTTTATTATTAATATTTATACAGGAAATCATGATAAAATTGATGTAAGTACTGTATATTTCACTACAATCCCATTTAAACACGAAAATGAACTTTATAAATTATTGCAAAGCCACTTTTCGTACTTTAACTACAGTAAACTCATTGATTATCTCATCATACTTCAAATTAGTACTTATTTCATGTTCAATGCTCAATAATTTAATAAAAATTTTAGTTTTTTCATTTTCAACTTTTTGGTGGGCCCTTAAATGTTGGGGGCCCTAGGTGACTGCCTTATTTACCTTATAGTACGGTCCGGCACTGATGATTATTGTAGGATCAGTGGTAGTAGTTTCTTGAAGTTTGGTTTTTAATGTATTTTAAAATTTAGATTTTGGGTTTCGGTATTTTTATTTATATATATATATATATATATATATATATATATATATATATATATATATATATATATATATATATATATATATATATATATATATATATATATATATATATAAATCAATGACTAATTGACAGTATATGCAAGATTAGAAAGGTTATAATATAAACTGTTAAAAAGTTTACTAAAAATGTTGGTACTACAATTTTTATGCATTAAAAGTAAAAAATTTATCACAAAAGTACAAATTTTCAACTTTGATTTAGAATTAAAAAATTATTTCAATTTACACCTTTTGCATATTTTGATGTTTTTTCGTTTATAGCGTCTACTAACTACCCTGAGAAGTGTGGCTGCAATGATCCACAATTTTGAGCGCTAAATAATTTTGAAATAATAACAATTTTCAAATGTGATAAAATGTTTATTTTTACTTTGTAATCATTTCATTGTGAACTAAGGTGACTGATGAAGATGATTTAAAACAAACGGTAGAAGGTTTCCAAAAATCTTTTCGAAAATTTAGATTGTTAGTTTAAATAGTATACTGATACTCGAGTCAAAGTAAAATACTGATAATCGTCAAAGTAAAATACTGATAATCGAGTCAAAAAAGACCAAGTCAATTAACTAAGAAAAAGATTTAAGCTAACTCAATAAAACAAAGTTTGTTGCACTATAATAAAAATTTTTTGAAATTTTTATTTTCTTATAAAAATTGTATAAAATTGCCTTAAAAGAAATATTTTTTATTTTTTTTACAATTTAAAAATAAGTACACACAAAAATATTACTTTGATATCGTTTGTTTTGTGGCTATCAGAAACCGCTAAATATTTTTAGAAAAATTCTAAAATAGCTTTAAAATGAGAGCAATCGTTCAAGCAAAATAGTTATGAAGCGATTTTCAATAAATGTTCCTTATTCCAGGGTTTCATGATGCGCTAAACTCAATAAAAATGTATAAGGCTCAATTCAAAAGAAAATACAATAAAAGTGACGTCGACGATAAACTTTACCGTCGTTATTTAGAATCGCAATTGATTATGAAGCATGAGTAATTAATTATAAAGATAATTGTTGGCATATAAAAATAAAATGTTTGAAATTTGGAGATAAAATAAAATTGCATAGAAAATCTTTTTTAAATTTAAAAGTAATCTAATTTATTCAAATTGAAGTTTGTGCTGAATTTTATTAGATTTACAGTTTAGATTTATGAAGTTTTCCAATCTTTTGACCTTAAAATAAAATCTATAATGTTTTAACTAAAAAGCGTTTCATAATTGTTTTGCTAACACCATTGCCCTCATTTTAAAATTATTTTAGAATTTTAAAAAAAAACTTCAGCGCTAACTGATAGGTGGTCCGCTTATTGTTTGTAATATAATATATGGATTTATGTGAGCAAACAATTGAAAAAAGAAAACTCTTTTTTTCTTAACAAACAATTTTAGAGGTGACAGTAAAGTTATATATAACAAATTTTTTACGTTCTCTTTAAGGTTTATTATAAAAATATTATTTAACTTTTTTTTATCAGATTCCGAAAATACTAAAATGGGTGACTATGAAACCTTTATATAGCAGTCGTAGCGCAGTGGGAATGTTTAACCTGTGCTTACATTATGGCCTATATTTTAAAATTGTAAATTTTTTAGCCATTACCTTTAGTTTTTTTTGAAATTATAGTAGTGTGTGAATCATTTAAAGCTAAAATTATAACTGGGTTACTTTTTTTTGTTATAATTTAATGCTTTTAAAAATTGACAATTTTTCTTTTTATCTGAAGGTTTAAAAATACTGGCAGAAATAATATTTACGCCATAATACTGCCATTTATTTCCTGAAAACTCTTTTGCATTGTTTTATAAGATTATTTTAAGTATCTTCAATTTTCCTCTTTTTAGGCAGAGCTTTTTGTTGTTATTTTTTTACTGTTGGATGGTTTTTTAAGAAGTGTTCATCCATTATACTTTTGAGTTTACGTTTTCCTTTCATGTGCCAGTAGGTACTCTTCATGCTGTTGAATTCAGCATGAATACTTTCTGCACCTTGTTCTCCATATGTACCAAGTCCTACTCCCCATTTCCTAATGAAAGATGATGCATGATATTCAAGCATATGAAGCTTAGGTGTAATTGATTCATTTGGCCAGTTATCACGAAAGTATTTCATAAAATCTTCAATACGATTTTCTGTAAACAATTATATATAAATATTATGTAATATTATATATATATATATATATATATATATATATATATATATATATATATATATATATATATATATATATATATATATATATATATATATATATATATATATATATATATACTTAATAATAATATTACATGTCATATCAAGATTTTGAATGTTTTCTTCATTGAACTGCTTGCAGGAGTTAATAAGCTTGTGGCAAACCCCAAACTTATCAAATAGGACTTTAAAGTTCTGATAAAGTTCAATAGTTTCTTTATGTATGTCAGTGTCTTTGAACCCAAGTTCGACTACGAGCTTTGGTATTGAGTTGCATAGTTCGAGGATACTTTTCATCTAATAATGTTTTTTAAATCAAATAAGTTATATATGTTAAATTACACTTTATATATATATATATATATATATATATATATATATATATATATATATATATATATATATATATATATATATATATATATATATATATATATATATATATATATATATATATATATATATATATATTAGATATACATATAAACAAATACATACTGATCATACCTATATAAATATACTTTTTTCTTAATTTGTAATTAATGAATATACTACTCTATATTTAAGAACTAAATGATTAGTTTACCTTTAACATTTTGTTAACATGGTTACCAACAAAACTTTTCCCATGGTATGCTTGTCTTTGCACTCCTAACAAGTACCTCGTCGAGTTTATTAACTAGTGGACCGAATGACATCTTTACATGGTCAGTTTCTTTCATTATTTCCAATTCTGAGATCTATGAATTTAAATATGGCTATTGATTCTCTTATAAATACAAAATACTAATATAAATAAAAAATACCAAAACATAAAATGTTAGAAATAACATCTATTAGGATCCAAGCAAAATGTATTGTTTATGATTTATATTTTTAGTGAACAATAAAATTTTAAATGTTTACCTTTTCTTTTTTTTTCTCTTCAAAGTGAATTATGCGTGGTTCAAATACTAACTTTATACATTCTTCATTTTCAGGGTTAGATAATATGTGAGTTTCAAATGCTTCTGTTATGATACGTGTTTTATTTTCAAGATCCTGAAAATAAAACACGTATCATAACAGGGATCTGAACCATGATTTTTATATTTTTCTAAATGTGAATCTAGTGTCTCAAGTGATCGCATTTCAATGTTGTCCTTAATTGGAGTTGACATTCCTTGTCTTGTGATGTTGCAAAACAGGCATGGGTGTCTACCTGAGGTTATCAAACAGTTCAATACTTAAAAAACAAAATCAATCATATAGCAGGAATATGCTCCATATGAGTTTTTAAATGGATATGTATATATTAAATATTTACTTACCAGTAGCACCAGTTATTCCATAGATTGCACACAAGAATTTGTAATCACCAAATAAAAATACACGAATCTGTTTTTCTCTACATTTGAAAATAGTTATATAGGTTCAAATTAATCACAAACAACATAAATAACTTTGTTTTAAATATTTTGATTATTTAGTTGGTTGTAACATATTCTTACCTCCAAATGGTATTTTGCAACAAATCGATTTCTGATTTAAATCTTGACAGTGAAAACTTCAGATTTGTTTTACAATCACTTGCTTCAAATATGTTAAAGACAGTTGTGTTTGTTTTTGCATTAGGTTTCTCTACATTCACTACTTGGTAACACATTTTGAACGAGCCACCTCCATGGTCGCCTCCTATTTTTATATCTTTTTGTTCAATAGTAAGTTGTTGCTAAAATATATTATAGAAAATGAAATTTTAGAACTGATTTTTTTATTTATATTGAATGTGTGCCAAATAAATTTATTTTTGTATTTTTTTGTAGTATTATATCTAAACCTTCCAAGTCAGAAATTGTTAAAGAAAGATATAATACAAGTACTTTTATAAGCAAGATTTGTTTTTACCTTTCTAATCTATCTAGCACATTTACTATATGTCCATGCAGATTGTTAATATAAGCACATGGCAATTCTTTTATTTCAAAAGAACCTTTGGACTTCTTTTTTTCAACCATAAATGGAGCTTTTTCAATAATAAGATCATCACATGACCATTTCTTAGCCAGGCTTCTTTGTTGTGCGTTTGAAGCACAAATGATGTTGTTGGTTTTCAACCATCTAAAACAATAATGCATTTGTTTTTTTGAAAAGGTTGTGATTTTTATTCAATACATTTTTTTCTAGATTTTTATACAACAGTTTTAAATTTGTTTACCTAGATAATATTTTCATGTTGGCATAAGTACTGCTCATGTTAGCTTTTAAACTTGTTATTTCTTCAGCTGATATTTTGGTTTTTGAAATATTTGAGTTACTTAGAATAATTTCTTGTTCATTTTCATTGAATGATTTCAAAAGAGTAGTGGTTTGGTTGATTTTGGACCTAATGCTTCCACCACATGTTGTGCTTATGTAATCGTTTAACTGTGATTGTCGTTTGCGAACTGTTCGTAAAGTTGCATCTTTACTTTCTTTATAGGCTTTTGGTGTTGATGTGAAGCATAAAGGCTAAAATACTATGTAGTTTGTGAACGTTTTATATGTTATTATAGTTTATTAAAATAAAAGTTGAATAATTTTGTAATAGTAATTTTTTACTAAAGTAATCTTACCCTTGGTCCATCTGTCTGAAATTCTATTACATTGGATGTTGTTTGCAACATTTTTTGTTTAATAATATGAAGTGCAACAGCATCAATATCCCTTGTGATAACACTTGTTGAATTTAATGCAAATATATCTGTTAGAGTTGTTTGTGATGAGGGTGTTGACAAGGTTGTGGAAATTGGTATTGGAGTCTGACAATTATTTTGATGGTTGAAGCGTTCTGATTGTTGTGACACTTTAAATAATCTACCGCAATGTTGCTTACATTCTTCTTGAATATTATTTATCATTTCAATAACATTGCTAGAGGAGGTTATTCCATCAATTGAAATTGAAAAGGAGCATTTAGGGCATTTTTTTTTAAATAATAGTTTACCATTGATTAGTGGTAATATACATGGTGCACAAAACGAATGCAGACAGTTTTTTAAAACAACTGGTTTATACATAATAACATTACAAATATAACAGACACAAAGATGTACATGTGGGTTTAATTTTTAGTTAATGTCTTGTAGTTTCAGATTTAAATTTGGTAGAGATGAAAGTTTAGCTTGTATGTTATTTATTGCCTGTCGAGTCCAAATTTCTTCATTTACAATACTTAAGGGCCTTCCTTTTACAGTTTTCTTTTGTTTCCTTCCTTTATTTACTTTGAAACAAATACATTCATCTTTCTGGCAATTGCTAATCCAAGTTCTTAATTTAAGATCAGTATTTGAACCTTTTTCTATGTTTCTCATTATTGTAAAGCATCTGTAACACATCTTCTGTGGGTGCATCTTTCGGGTCATCCTAGTCGATTCGTATAAAAAAATTCAATTCTATTCTAACTACATGCTTTGTTAAAAGAACACTACAATTTCCAAGTTTTTCTCCGCATATTCAACATAATTTTTTTAGTTTTGTTATATGAGACTCAGTCATTTTTATATTTATTTATAGCTAAATAATAGGATTTAATGTACACTGTTTTTAAACTTAAAAAAGTAACCCAAGTCTAATTTTTTTTAATATATAGATAAACTCTTCTTGTTTTAAAATATATTAGGTTTTAAAGCCAAAAAATTTAAATAAGCACTTAATTATCCAGTTTTATAAGTATACATAGCTATATATTCAAGTCTGAGTTTCCCGCGTATTTAGATACTCTAAAATTTAAAAATTTAAATGTTGTAAAAAAACACATATCCATCGCCATATTTAAATCAATTTAAATAATGGAATATCAATTATACATCTTTATAGCAAAGCTATGAGCTACTTTTTAAGGATATGGTTAAAAAAAAATTACTAAATAAAAACAAAACAACAATCTTTTTTTTAATAAAAGTTGCGCATGCGCATTATAAAATGCCGCGATTGTTAAATATTAAACTACCGTGCATTATGGTAAAATACCTTAGGTAGAGCCATATGGCTTGTATATAATTGTATGGCCATGTATATACATGGGATTTGTATTATGGGTTGTAAGATAGGAGTAATATCGTTATAAACTTAAACAGAGTATTTATAGGAATGCACTTTTAATTTACTAACCTCTTCATCATAGCTATCACAAGTTTTTGACAATTCTTACAACTAATATTTTGAACTCTTTGTTTCTAATAGAAAGAAATTATGGAAAAGAGTATTTAAGGTTACTGTATATGAAGTTTTATTTTTTAAAAAAGTCACGCAATATGACTTTATAAATGTAAAAAGAAACAAATTAATCTGTGCGAACGGAGTTACTGAAGAAACAATTACTTAAAACACAGATTTCTAAATATAAAGCTTTCTTAATGTAAACCAGTTGGAGTAAGTTTAAAAGCTTTCTTAAAACTTTTTTAACTTTTTTCAAATATACACACATATAACTTTTTAGCGTAGTTAACAAAGTTTAATAAATGTTTTCATAATATAAATATTGCTGTTAAATTTTGATAATATGATATAGTTTCAAGGTAATTAAATCATTAAAAACGGCAGGAAAAAGATTATTTTTACATGTTTATACAAAACTTAAAATATTAAAAATATTAAGTTTGAACGATTAAGAACTCTCATTTCAGAATGCGACAAATGCAGGAGAATTTAAGAAAGCAGTTGTATTGACAGAAATAACTATTAGATTAAATGAATATTCCAATTTTTTAACTTTTATTGACCAACTCTAATTTTTATTATGCAAGTAAATATTCAACATTTAAAAAACGCAAATTAGACGAGGCGGGGGGAGCACGTGTTTTCCTGTGCCCTCCTCCTTCTCCTCTCTACGGCCCTAATAATTGTTTTTTAAACTTTTCAATATTGTTTATATTAAATACGCGCTTACTTATTTTATTATTAGTATTAGTTATAATTTTATTATTTGAGTTGAATGATAGAAATATTTGGAAATGATCAGATATACCTGCTTTCAATAAACCTTTTTGTATATTGAAGACTTAATTTGTAATAATGTTGTCAATGTAGCTGAGTTTATTGATATAGAGTATCAGTTAGACGATTAATTAATTTTTTTTCTCCTTAATGCCATACAGCCGTTTTTCAAAACGCCTTAAAAAAACCATTTGCAGTATCTTTTTTTAAGGCGTTTGAAAAACGGCTTATTTTGATAACATTTTCCTTAAAAAGCTAAAAGATTAAATTCCAAGCTTAGGTTCTTGTGCTTAAATCGTCACACAGTGGGGCAGAATAACTTTAACACTAGCAGCCCCAGGTTTTTATATACCTAGAAACCCCAAACTTGATCAATTGATCCAACTTAATTTTAATATGCATTTAGACTTTTTTGTTTAAATGTATGAAACTAACAGTTAAAACTGTTAATTTTGATTTAAATTATATAAAAATATAAATTTCTTTCATCTTCCATATGTATACATAAGTTTTATGCCCAAAAACGGCGTGTTTTAATCTAAGTGGATGATTTTATATAGACAAAGTAGCGTTTTCAATTTGAAGACATTATGAATATACATTCGATATACATTCAGAACGTAGAGAGCTGATAAACTTGCTATTATGTCATGGGTGCTGAAAAGATTGTCAAAAATGTTGTTCCCAACTAAAGCTCGGTGTCTCTTTACACAGTATATGCCTAATAAAATGGATAAGTTTCCTATATTATATATGAAGGAACTTTTTTTTATTTAGATACCTTCTTTTTAATTGGCGGCCCTTGGATATCTGCCGCCCGGGGACAAACTGCCCCTCGCGACCCTCTCTCATGAGGGTCTCATGAGGGTCTCCCTCATTAAGTTTTCAAGGTGTCAGCAACAATATTATAATAAGGATAAGTAAGATAAACTGCCTGATCTAAAGAGCTAATTTTGTCTCAATATCAAACCGTATCTAGGTAAAGATGAAAACCATGTAGAAAATTTAGGCACTGATGTGATCATGTCACTAATGGAACCTTGTTTAGGTCGCAAATATAATGTTACTACAGATAACTTTTTTACAAGTGTATATATGGCAACAAAACTTTTGCAAAAGAAAACATCAAATATTGGAAAAGTTAAGCATAATAGCAAAAACATTCCAGTATTTGATCTACTTTCTCTTTACGATACGACTTTCTACAAAAATAGACCATTGAGTTTGATTGTCTACCATGCAAAGAGGAAGAAAACTGTTATTTTATTATCAACAATTCATAAAGGGGCGAATAAGTAAAGTGATGGAAAGAAAAAACTGGAGGCAATACTTTATTACAAATCAAATAAATGTGAAACTGATAAGTTAGATTCAATGTGTTGACAAATGTCAACATAATCTGGGTGCAGACGCTAGCCGTTAGCGCTTTTCTTTAATATTTTGACCTGACCGTTGTAAATGCTTAGATCATTTTTTTAAAAGTTAAAAAAATTCAAGATAAAAGTTGCTTTACATTTAACCTGAACAGTTAAGAGAAGCAAAAATTACTCCCTAGTTGCTGCCAACAGTAATTCCACCCTAGCTACCAACAGTAATACACAATTATCAACCCGTTTGAGATAAAAACAAACTGCAAAGTAATGCGATTTCAACAGCAGTGCCGCCAAGAGGAGAGAGGGTCGCGAGGGGCAGTTTGTCCCGGGCGGCAGATATCCAAGGGCCGCCAATTTCCTTCATATATAATATAGAGAAATTTTTATAAATAAGTGCGCCAATCAGGATTGCTGTCCCAGGCGACGTAACGGCTCTCGGCGGCCCTGATCAACAGTATCTGCAAATTGTATGTAACCTTTTTGTGGAAACTGCTTGTCAAACATATGCAAACATTGCAAATAAACTTAATTACGTGACTAAATTTGTTATGTATATGCACATTCTCTATAAGGTGGATTAATTGATCCACCTCAGGGATTTACTTATAAATATTTATAACCGCATCTCTGAATGTGTTTTTTAAATAGTTTTTCCGCTTTTCAGTAAATAATAACAAAATAATGAAAGTTATAAAATATCATTTTATCTACATAAAAATTTATGCTTTAGCAAAGTGTCAAAGTCATGTTTGGATCAATTGATCCAGCTTGGGGCTTCTAGTTATTATTATTATTTTATTTATTTAACACCCAATTTACAAGGTAAAAAGAAAAAAATAAGAAAGTTATTTCGGATGACTTTGCTTAAAAACGTTTTCTTCCAGAATTTGCTTGAAAACTCCTCTTTGCTCTTTTGCATTCCAGCACTCTATTGCATACTTCAAGTTTCGTTCAACTTCGGAAGGAATTTTACTTTTAGACAGTGGTATTTTTACCTTCTTTTTATTTTGAAACGTTAACGTTAAAACGGGACAAAGTTTTTTTTTTTTTTTTTGATGTTAAATAACTATTTTAAGGACACTAGTTACACTTAGGAAAAATTACTCGATAGATTTTTAAACATTTATTTACAATTATCAGACGTTTTTTATGTATTTTTGAGTAATTTTGAGTAAAATTAAAAGGTCCTATATTAAAAAAACACGTGGATAAGATGGACAATAGTCACTTTTATACATTTCCACGAAAAAATGTTTTATAATGTCTTTTTTCGTTTTTGTCATATGTCTAATTATAAAAATTCGCGTTATTACTTAAATCGCAATAGCTTATCAAAGTTTCAGTTAAATAAATAATATTAAAAACATATTTAGTTTCTCCTAATAAGTAAAGAAGCGTTTCAAAGTTGTGACTATGCTTATTATATTTACAAGAAGGATTTTTATTTGTTCGCCGTTATTGGAATTAAAAAGAGATCCTTTTCACTAGAATAAAAGTAAAAGCAATCATTATTTAAATCATGAAAATAATTCTCATGATTAAATTATTATTTCATTTGCGTCTTTTCTATATTTATATCTATTAAAGTTTTCATTTTATCAAAATAAAAAGCTTGGTGTTTAAAATCGCTAACTTGAGCCGTTCCTGTGAAAGTTATAGAATCTCCTTCTATTTCCGCCACTTGTTACTTTATTTATGCATATCTTTAA